ACTTGATGTAAACATTTGTAAACAAGAAACCTCTCTGCAAACACATACCACTAGGTCATGTTGGCAGAGCAGTTGACAAAATATATCAACACCATGTTGTCAATTCTTCTTGCCATGCTGGTGCAATCACTGTTGAAATCACGAGTACAATACTTGCACTGGTATGTGCATGCGTGGGTACCCCACCCATCAGACTTTGTTTGACAGCGGCGGCGAGGGAGTATGAATCCTGGATGACCTCACTGCTAGTGTGGGCAACAGTACCAGCAGACACACATGGATAGTGTAGGAGGCAATTTCATGTAACACAGGGGCTGAGCTTTTATGCAATGACCAAAAATACTGTAGTCTACATCAGTTAAAAGTTAATAACTCATTCTATTCCTCAGGTTGTACTCAACAAGCTCGATGTCCAAATGTTCAGTATTTCAGAAGAATTGTACCCTTCACTGTTGTATGTACATGTAAAGTGTGGCAGATTAAAAGAGATTCCTTTATAAATTCAGAGGAAGATACATTGTGTAGGGCTACAGATGTATACATGTACAAACACTGCATGGACGTGATACACCCATCGGCACTGGTGACCTCACATGTTCAGCTATAGACCTGCAGGAAATCCCAAGTTATCATGACATCAAGCGCCCCGACACTGAACCGCAAATTGAATTTGATAAAACCACAGCCAAATGCGGACCCAGTTGTCTAATTTATCTGATCTTCAAGGGGGGGGGGGGGGCTCCCTAAAATTACTCAGGGCAACTGCACTTTCCTTAAGGGAAAAGATGCATGATTTACTATGATACAAAGGTTAACCCTAAAATCTACACTGGCTACTATAAGTCAATAGTTAAAGTCCCCACTGCATTGACCTGGATAGCGACTCAACTTGCCTACATAAAACTTAGTCCTGTACATGTTACATGTAATACAACAATGTCACTCAGCACCATGTGTTAAACATGTCAACACACCTGTAAAGTATTTTACAGTAGGCCTATTGGTACTTGTACAAAACTTAAAGCAGCTGCCAAAACAAACAATTTTTAGTTTGAGGAAAGACTTGAAGCCATGACATCAATGAGCAGGTTTAGCACTTCTGTCATCTGGTTGCATCTGCCTTTGAGCATGCCTTTGACTTGAGCATGCCAACATGAGTGTCCCTCAGGATGTGCACATTGTCATGATTCAGCGACAGATCATATCCCTTGTTGCAACCTGGCATTGCATTGGAGGGGACATCTGTGAATTCACCAGACCACTAAGCACTTGGCACTTGTGACTGTGTGCACAAGGCCAAGGCTTTGGTAGAAGCATAGAGCTGGGACCCAAAGTAACACAAACAAGTTTGGAGGGAACGTTGTGGGAAGAGGGTGAGTATGCAGAAAGAGTGCATGTAGTATGCTTCGGGAGAACAAAAAGGAACGTCTGCCAAGATTTTGTCAACAGGTTTACTGCAAAGATGAGCAATGACTAAACTTGACAAATGTGGAGCAATTATTGAAACAAATTTTGCACTAAATTGCACAATTTTATCAAAGTAAACTGCAGGAAAATGAACAACACTTTATTTTTATAACGGGCTCAGATCACACAAATTTACGTAGGAATAAAAACAAAATTTCTCAGATCATTCATTCGTCTCTCTGAATCAAGTCATCTCCAATAACTCAACACACGTTTACAGATACCGGTAGAGTGATTTGCATGGAAAATTCTTGTGAAAGGAAAAGGCCAAAAGAAAAACTAAATAAAAAACACGCACAGAAAAAAAAAAAAATTATTACAGTCAATTCTGTAAGCACCTTCAATGTCAGAATTGTAAATACATTGTAGTCGATATATAGAGCATCCAATGTCGAGAATGTTCGATAATTATAATGATTATCCAATGTAAAAGTTAAAGACGGTAAAGACTACATATTTTCCAAGGCGTTCCAAGTCCAAATTTTCCAAGGCGTTCTCTGGACCATATTCCTCAAACTACTTGTAAATCTCAGCACTGACAGTTTGTCCAGAATATGCGGTTTATTTTGAGTTTTTACATTGGGGAGACTGCAAATTCCAGCGAAACGTACAGCACAAAAAGCTTGCATGATTCTTGCTTTTTGGATTGATCCAGAACTGATTAATCTTTAGTTTTATCTTCGGGCTTCCCTTTATTGTGTTTTTTCCCTGCTGTAATAATTTTGTTCTTGTGTATTTGTTTGCCTTTTTTGTCCTGTTCGTTTGTCATTATGTGCAAGTTCAGCATGCTTCAGAGCAACAGTGATTAGATTCGCTTTTGCGGTCCCTGACCCACATAATCATTTTCATTGTGATTGTTTTGTTTTTTTGCCTTATTGGTTATTGTTCACCTCAATTACAGGGAAGCCTAAAGTGCATGCCCTCAACTTCATGATTTTTGGATTGTTGAATTTTTCATTACATGTTTATACGTTGCTTTTTTCAACCACTTTTTGTGTAATGTTTGTTTTGATTTGTACCACTCTTTGTAATTCTTTGTTGAGGTCAAATAAATAATAATAATGATTAGACCAGGCCTCTTTATAGGCTAATCAGAAAGTGCTGCCTTTTTCAGATGTCTAATTTTTGTGAAATTTTATGTTGAAATTTTGATACGCAATTAACGTGTGCAAATGAATCTGGAAATTTCACGAAAAATAGACATCTGAAAAAGGCAGCACTTTCTGATTATCCTAAAAAGAGGGTGAGTATGCTTCTAAAGCAAAAAAAACCTACAAACTAAGCCTAAATGTGAAAATCAAAATTTGGCAAAGTGCGACACATTTTTGTACATGTGGATGTGTGGCGGAGTAATTGCAGAATACCCCGCCACTCGGAAATACACCCCTAAAATCACTGGCTACGAGGTTGGAATCACTGCAAAAGAAACAATTCAAGTCCATTGCCAGCTACGCGGATACTGAGTGGGGGTCCATTATTTGAGAACGAAGCAACACAAAATGAATGGGAGTTCCTGAAAAAAATTGTAAGTCCAAACCAACCACCCTGTTGGCGGCTACGAGGCTACGGAGTGGGAGTCCCCTTGAATATGCTTGAGAACGAAGCAACACAAAAGGAATGGGAGTTGCTGAAAAAATTCTAAGTCCACACCAACTACCCTGTTGGCGGCTACGCGGTCACGAAGTGGGAGTGCAATGGAGCATGACACATAGTAAGTAGCGCTGAGAATGTTTATTGAGGTCAATCAACCGTGACCTCGTAGCCGGCTACGAGGTGGATAGATCGAGTGGCGGGGTATTCTGCAATTGTGCCTGTGTGGCCTATGTTTATGGAGGTAGTCCAGTAAATAGGCCACATTTACAAAAAACCAGTAACTGCGCATGTTCAGTGCATATCCGGCAAACTAACGTTTACTAAAGGTTTGCCCTCTCCGGCAAAATATACACTGCCACGGTATAGGCCTACAAAATGATAAGTAAGATTTTCATCTCAATTCTCACCTCTTCACAAGGAATATCATCCCGTCTAGTTGCAGGAAACGTACGTCAAAGAATGCAGGTTCGCAGTGCTTACTTTCATGATGTCACAGTGCAGTTACATCGATGTCATTTTGAAGAAATACGCCGATAACCTTTCGACCAGACCAGACAGAAAAGCTAAACAGACGCCATGTTGAGCTAAAGGTCGTGGAAGCGTCACGCCTTGTCTAAAAATAAACACAGAGGGCGGTCTTCACAATTCGTGGTATTTTTAGTAGCCCCTTCTGGAAAGTCGGCCCCTTCTCGATACTGTTTGTTTTTGCTGTCGAAAAGGAGTTTTGTTTCTTTTCTATCTAAATGAAATCAATAAAGGTAAACGATACTTGCCAATTGCCAGTCCTAGTTCATGAGAAAATCACATTTTCTTTTCCTTTTAAAATGTATGCAAAGAATTTGAAGTATAAACGGAGATCTAGCTTTTTGGTAACCGATTTTCAAGTTAAGCACTGAGATTATGCGTTGCTGCCATCTTATAAGAGGGCATCGTTTGTTATCCATTTTAGCAATCATGACTGCACAAAAAGGTTCACCCTGCGTAAGCAAAACAAAGGTATTGCCCTCTAAGATGGCTGCTACACACACAAGGTCTATTTACGAAAAAGAAACAAGTTTTGCATCTTCCTTTTCCCTTGGTTTAATATCAAGCTAAGACAAATGGGGAAAACAAATTAGGGTTGTTTTTTTTTCAATAAAAAAAAAAGCGTTTATTAAATTTCGAGAATTTTTATAATTAAAATGTAAAAAAATACATAAAAACAAAAATACGTTATATTTTTTCAAATTAGGCCTGTTGGAAGAAAAAAAAGTTGTGAACCATTTTTACCAGTCTTTTATATGGGAATTCGAAAATAATTTTTAAAAAGGGGGGTTGTTTGTTGTTTCATATTCTCCTTTAATGTTTAACATTTAAAAATTAGGGAAAGCGATTTTTTTGGGGTCAATGGTGATAAAAGAAAGACAAACAAGCCGCATGCAGTAGAATGAGCTAGCAGTGTAGAAAGAGCTCAACCAACACTTGGTTTTCTCAATCCCTGCTTGCAATTTGCAAGCCTGTACCATGGCTTGGAAAAAATATAATTACAAACTTCATGTTTGGTATCAGGAGCCGGGTGAGAATTGTGATGTTTTCGCCCCTCACGTAAATCAGCGAATCATAATCAAGCCTTCACTTTTTGGTTGCACAATGTATCCACATCTTTGTTGCCATGTTTATATCTATAAAGTCATTTGTATAATTATTTGTAAACCAGTTTTAAACTGTTCGGGCAAACCCTTGGTAACGAAATGTGATAAATAAAATAAGTAAATAAAAATCATTATTATAATTTGAACTTTTTGCTTTTTGGCAAAAAAAATAAGGACGTGTGCCAAAAATTAATGGGCTTAAGTCGGCGCCGACTACTTTCTTGAATATCGCCCTCACTCGTCCAAATAATGTCAGTAAAGTCGTCTGGTATCCCTTTTCTACGTGTGCGTATACACGCAAGAAGTTGGGGATTATGACCACTGCTATAGAAACGAGACGCCATCAAAAAAAAAATTCGAAGTAATTTTAGAGCTAGGCTAGGGCGGGCGCGACCGCCGCACCGGGGTGAAAATTCTTAGGTGGACTTCGATCGACATGCTCTAGTAAACTCCCGTTTCTTGTAAGTTCCTTTTGTGTTTTTAAATCATGTTAAAGGATTCCAGTATAAAATTAAGGACAAAAAATGAGTCATGATTTACATGGCTATGCTTTTGAAGTAGTCATATTTTATTGTTTTTAAATCACCCTTGAAGTTGAAACATACAGATTGATCGAGTAGGATGCCATGATGTAAACAATTTTGAGGAGACTAACGTAACTGACTGCAGCGATGGCTCGGAGTGTTGCATGGCGTCGAACCATCAGCGATGCTGCCTCCTGGCATCAGGACCAGGCACAATCAGCAACAATCTACATCTTAAGGGAGACAGGACCCACAGGATTCCTTTTGAAGGAAGAGGGTGAGACCAAGAAAGTCAAGGTGAGATTTAAGGTGCATTGTCCCCACAAGAACAGATCACAAGTATGCAGTAAAGGTTTAGCTTTGTCACATCCTAGGACAATTTGCAGTAACATACACCTGACCAGCTTGGCAAGGGTTCATGTTATAATGTTAATTGACTGGTAATGTTCAGTAACTTGTTTTTTCTTTTTGCAGGTGTTCTTAGGAGATCCCCATAGCTGCACCTGTAGTGTGTTTAAGAAGGAGAGGGATCTCTGTAAGCACATCTGCTGGTAAGCTTTCGATAGTGAGCAACAAGGCTAAAAAGTTAAGGGATTGATGCCAGTTTGTCCTTTCATTTTTTGATATCCCAAGACTTGAAGCCCATTTTGTAGATGTGTCTACATCGTTTAGAAACTCCCCCTTCCTCCACCCCAGCCAATTTTGTTCTTTTGACTTTATTGTAGTAACTAGCCACTTCATTTATTTTGCTCCTTCCTTTCAGGGTGCTACTAAAAAAATTCAGAGTCCCGAGGGAAAATCCAAGTAAGCAATCTTTTTCAATCATTTGAATTTACTGAATGAAATGAGAATATTGCAGAAAAAATAGTAGGCCTGCTGATCAGGGGTAGTGACAAAGTACCTATAAATCATTTAGGTGTGATATTTTTTCAATGTTATTATCATTCATAATTTCGATTTTGTATTTCTTTTTTTCTTCTTCTTTCTATGTTCATGCCATTTGTTTTATTTGTTTTTGGTAACAATTCATCAGTTTCATTCCAATTGGGACTGGTTGAGCGTGAAATCAATGAAATACTTCGTGGCATCAACAATCCAAGCCGTCAAAGAAGTCTTGTACCCCGTCAACGCACTGTATCACACAGTAAACCACCCCAAGGCACCAGCTCATCAGCTGGTGGGAGGGATGTCTTAATACAGCGAGAGATCACAGCAGACGATGTCTGTCCCATCTGTCAGGATGAGTTGTTGAATGCCAGAGAAGCAGTGACTTACTGCAGGTTTATTTCCATCTTTTATTTTGTCAGAAACCATTTGGAGCAGCAAAAGATAGAGGAAATATTTGCTTAGTCAAATTATATGTTTTGTTTTCCATAAAAACGTTCATTCTAAGATCTTTTGCATTTTGTTCTAATAATTTCGAGAACCACATTAAAAACTTATAACAGGTGTTAAAGAATTAACCTAAAGTTTACACTGTACTGATATTAAACTTCACAAGAATAACAGCTATTTTTGATAGTACTGTTTAAACTTATTTCAAGTAAAATTTGGGATGACCACTGATGAACATCATCATTTTAAAAGCAGTAGATTGTCTTGCATGGTGGCACATTGGAAGCTTTTTATTTTGCCAGTGACTCATTTAATCACTTGTTTTGTCTGTTGACAGGTATGGCTGTGCTAAGAGTATCCACATCAAGTGCATGAAGGTGTGGGCGGAGCATCAGCGATCAGTGGGGGAGACCCTGGTCCGATGTCCACTGTGTCGGGAGGACTTTGGCCAGTTAGAGCAGCTACAAGCTGAGTATCGTAATGCCTCACTCCAGAAGACCCGATCTGAGCGACTGGACGTTCACTCGGGTGCTTGTTGTCATCACTGCAACAAGTCCCCCATCCAGGGGAAATGCTACAGGTACAGCGGGGGATATATCATTGGTAGTGACATACTCTGAAGAAAAAATGGTTTCAAAGGACTTGAGGTGTTTATAAACTAGTTTTTCATTCTCTTTGCAGATGCACAGAGTGTTTTGATTATTGTCTCTGCCATGCCTGTTTCCTAACAAATATTCACAACGAGCATTCCTTCAAATTCCGACAGGTAAGTGTAAAAACAGAACTGCTTTCTAGCTGATAGAACTGGCAACGTTATTTTCTTATTTTATACCACAGAGTTGGTGCATTGAAGGTATTGTCAGTTGGTGTGTTTGACAAAATGTTGCCCTCGGGTAGCCTCTTTGGATATTTACTTGTTCACAGGTTCACATTTCCTCTTGTTTGGGTTTCACTACAGAAGATGAATCAGCGCTGGCGTCCTGCCCAGCGTGGTTCTGGCACAGCCTTACCCCAAGCAGTGATGGATGATCTACTAGCCAGGGACATATCTGATGGCGACTATGATCTCTTACTACAGCTGGACAGGTAAGCATAATTACATTGACTTTTGAATTGACTGTGTGCATGACCTGTTGAGGGCGACATACAAGTGATTTACAGCGATTCATATGCAGTTTTCATTTTTTCATCAGCCAATCAGCCAACCAGCCCAGCAACATCCCTGAAAAGGTGATCAAGAGTTTTGCAACGGAGACAGTACGTCAGGGCAGCACACTACTGAACCCAGGTGTGCAGTGTAGGGTGTGTCTACGAGGCTACAGTATTGGGCAAGTGCTAAGACGTCTACCATGCAGGCATAAGTTCCACACTTCTTGCATCGATCCCTGGCTGCTTCACCAACATCCAACCTGCCCTGTGGATGGCAGTATAGTCTGGAGCCCTAGTACTGCGCAACAGACCAGCTCAACCAATCAGAATCAGCGTAACAAACAGCCAGCCAATGGGAAGGCTGCTTCTGAAGGCGCTCTAGAGATCCCTGGGATTGGAGTGGCATCCGTGAGAATTGAAAGGTAGAGACAAGTCTCCCTTAGCTTTTTCCTCTCTGAGAACCAAATTTGATTTCATGATTCATACTAGAAAAACTTTGATGCTCCAAGAATTTGGCACCAATCCAAGAAAGTAGAGTAAGTCTCTAATGAAGGGATCAATATACTTTGGGGGTCAACCCCTTCAGTCCTATATTCACTTCAGAAACTTAAGAACTTTATAAGTGCAAACAGCAAATACAAACAAATATCGAGCATGAAAGTTCCTGATACGGGCTCTGTAACCAAAGTCTCAAAAAGGTATCTTTTATTTAATTTACAAACAAATATATATTTAAAATATTTAAAAATATTTAAAGGAAAAACAAAATACCAACATTGTGAGCTGCCTTCTTAATTAATGGAGTTGATGTTTTTTGTAACACTCTTGTAGATCCGGTGATGCTGTTGCTAAGGGACGGCATAGAGGCAGGTCTGGAGTTGTTGAGAGAGCCCCTAATGGTGACATTCAGGGACTGACAGCAGACTTTGCCTTGACAGGGCTTGGGATAGTGTCACAAAGTCAAACCCAGAGGTAAGAGTTCATGTGTACAGCACGCCGTAATAAGAGCGGCTGCCACTTTGTTGAGAAGTTGACCTTGAGGGTCAAATGCCTAGTACCCTGCTACCAAATCACTCCAGGAAAGCTGTTGGTGTATTTTTCAGTAATTGGGCCAGAGCATGCACAAGACTGGATAAAACTGGAATATCCTGTTTCTTTGTTTAACAAATTTTATTCTAAATTTCCTTTTTATTTTTACCCAGTATGGCAGCAAACTCCAGAGAGGGAGCAAGAGTACAGCCAAGAAGAAATAGCAGCCGTGCTCCAAGAACACATACAGACACAAATATAGAAATAAATGGGGTGTCGGACATGGCGATAAACCTGGATGCGATCAATGCAACAGCAAGTGCTAACAATGACAGTGGGCTGTTGCAAGACTTTCAATTGGATAGACGATCCAGTGAGTTAAGGCAAGATCAGCTGGTTGAACCCTCAACTCAGTTACCCAATCGGACTGGGAGCTCTTCCTCAGAACACATCCCCTGCTTGCAGCCTGCTACAGACACTAGGATGGAAAATAGCCAGGTGCCAGTCCAAGTAAGACTTGAAACCCTGACCCTACCAGGCACCACTACACAGGGAACCAAGCAGCACCCTTCCAGGGGCATGGCAAGGCACAGAAAGCCACCCCTCCCTACACAGCCCTTAGTAGACCGTTCCAGTGCCCCATCTATTCCCCTCCTACGAGAGAGTGTTATGACCCCAATAGGGAACAGCCGACAACAGAGTACCAGTGCACCAAGTCTTGGGCAGAGGACTGCACCATTTGGAGTAGAGGGGTCATCAAGTGGCAGACCTCCCTTGCCAGCAGGTGAATAAAATACTGTCAAATTCTTCAAGCACAAAATTCATAGATAACAGTTTTGCTTTACATATAAGAAATACTTGTGGATAGATCCTTTAGAAATGTGAAATAATCAAATGCAGGGTAACTTGTCTCCTAAAGGTATCAACAGTCCTAATAACTTGTCTTGTTATTTACCCGGTTACAACTATTCCCCCCCCCCCCCATTACTTTGAACCTCAGGTGGTTCGTCCCCAGGATCAGTCCGAGACCGCGGACGTGAGCCAGTCAGAAATGTTCGATCCACACAATTGACTAGAAAAACCAGAAGTACCAGCGTGGAGCGAAGTAGATCTAGAGATAGGCTACATCCGCCAACAGCTGACAAACAACAGGTAAATGTGACCAAAAAGGGAGAAAACAAAGAATTGTTCACTGTGAACAAAACTGATTAAAAAACTGTCTGAACACTTCCTATTTTAGTTCTGTACATGGTATGTACGCTGCAGCACATTACCACATTAACAAAGAATTTTTCAATTGACCTGAATTTACTTACCTCGGATATTCTGTACTGTCATCAGGTTCTGGAAGGTCTATTACTTGGGTCATCTGCCACTCGGCAAGTACCGTCAGGCAAAGGTCAGAGGTCATCACCTCTAAGGTCATCACCTCTAAGGTCAAGGGTCAGCCAGTTGCACAGTGGCGGTCAAGCCGAGAGAGATCAGCAACTCACCGAGGGGATTTCAGGCAGTGGACTTAGCTCACATGGGCAGTAAATTATCCTCCAGACCGCAATCTTTGGGTGATTGGTTCCTGAATACAATGTATTGCATACTGAGATCTTTACAGTGCATGTGCACTATTGCACAGATTTTTCTTCCGGTTTTATATATTTTTATGATTCTCCATTACATACAAAGTTGCATTATTAAATGTTTGTTTGAAAGGAAATAAATTATTTGAATATGTGCCAATAAATGGTAATAAAAAATGATCCACGGCAGCACCATGTGACAAATCTCTTTTGTGAGTTTGCGAGGTTCGAAAAAAGTGTGCGGTTCTGAACTAATTTTTTATAAATGGCAAGCTAGTGTATTCACTGACGTCTGTTGCTTCCCCCACTATGCTGGGTCACATATTTGAACTGGCTCTGCTCCATCGCATTTTACAACACGATCAACAACAAAACACAAAACCATTTCAACCAAGCTGTTTGGTTTTCGTGTACAGCCTTTTTGAAACATTTATTATACACTGACTATCCTCTTACCCTAGCTTGTCCTTTCAAAAAGTAACTAGTTTAAAGGTTACTCTACTCTTACAGTAAACATGTCATGATTAAAGGGTACTTCGTCCTTCAAACATATAGGAATGTAGTACCCTGTCCCAGTACAAAGGTAGGCAATATGAAATCAGCATCACCATGATCAGCACCAGACTATGCAGAAATTTCAACATTTCTGTAACCAAATCAAGATGGTCAAGGGTTCGAATCCAGCTACTGGCCATTATGTTGTGTCCTTGGGCAAGCCACTTCACCTCTACTTGGCTCTCTCCATCCATAAGTTTAAATGGGTACCGGCATTAGCTGGGCAGTAATGAATTAGCATCCCATCCAGGGGGAATAGAAATACATGTACATGTCTTCTCAGTCAATTCATGCTATTGAAACCGGCATTAAATGCCACACTGATGAGCAACATTTACTTATGACAGACTTGACTTATACATGCATAATCAAATGCAGTTACTGTGATTTGACCTTGGGATTTTCTTAAAATTTCTCCACACCTTATGGATTTATTAATCAACATTGAAACATTTTAGGGGGACTAACTGAAATTCCAGTTAAATTCTGTTACCTTTGCCTTGCTCCCTGCAGTCAAAGATGACAATTTATGATAAATATTAAACACATAAAGTAGACTTCTTATGCAAGTGATAATTTAACAGTTTGCACACCAAACAAGAAAAAACAAAAATGAACTGAATGAAACACCACATCAATATGAAATTTAAGATTAACAGAAAAACCTTCGTGCTTACCTTGGGCAGCATGGAAATGAAACAACATGCCCGAGTCCAAATAATAAAACCTGTCCTCAATACCTCACAAGTTACTGGAAAAAAAGAGACTTTTACAAGTTTAAATGTGGGTATCTTTGTGCAAATATTGTTGCTGATTTTTATTTCCCCCCGTTTATTTTTACAGAGAAATTGTTGACCTGAATTGAATTGATTGACCTGAATTGAATTGATTGTGCTGAGCCTTAAACTGGTATCTCCCCAATGCAGTTAACATGTGCAGATCCTCTCTCCCCCCCCCCAAAAAAAAACAGACAGCAACTACAAATGTGGCATAACTTTGTTGCCGATGGACGTTTATTTGTAACTGAAGAGATTTCACCAGTCCTCAGGTTGCCATGACGATGTGACTGCGAGTGTTTTTTTTAGTAGAGTGTTTCTGCATTGCTGTTTCGTGGCTTCTTAATTTTCTCCTTGTTCTTCATGATGAGATCATACAGAGAAAGCTGTGTGAAGAAGAAATAAATCTGTTTATTTCACATTGCCATTTTCTTGAATCAGTTTCAAGAGGAAAAATCAGATAAATAAACAGTGATAATGGTAAGATCCATGACACGGTATATCTGCTGAAGTTAGCTCAACTGAAAATGTACCATGAAATTGGTCCCAAATGTTCGAGGGCTCTTCTAATTGGGTACTGTGAATGTTCTCATTTGTTTTCAAAGTACATAAGGAGTAAAGTCTGTCACGAGCCAATAAAGCACATTAGGCCCATGTTTCTGGTTTCGTTGGCATGAGACAAGTGGGAGTGAAGTGGCTTTCCCAAAGTCACAACAGCTGGATTCAAATCCCTGACCCTCTTATCGCGAGTCACAAACCCTAACCACAAGGCCACACACCCCCATAAATCTATCTAAACAAACCCCCAAACAACAGACACCCTGGAGTAATAACATCACTTACGTATGTGTTCCTGAGCTCTGCACAGGTAAGCCTCAAGTTGAGAAATTCCTTTTCATCAATTTCGGAAACACTCCGCCTGTAGTCTTCCTGCAAAAACAAAATGAAAACCACTCTGAAATAATTTGAAAAAGTGACCAAATTATTGAACAACTTCACCTTCCTGGATTGAATAAGTTTGAGCTGTAAACTGAACTTTCCAAATTACAATAAAATGTCTAATCTAAACGGACAATGTAAAGAAAGAAATCTTTTTAAACTTACAACATGTGGATACTTGGCCACTTTGCTGATGAGCTTTGCCCGTGTAATGAAGTATCTGGATATCTGGTCTAGATATGCACCGGTCTCACTCTCAACTTGCCTCAGCTCCGCTAATGTGTCCTCCTAGAGTCACAACAAAACTTGGGGTAAGATCAAAGTGCAGACCATCCATGATTGGACTGCCGGCGTGCGAACCACAACTAGGCCAACTGTAGTACTTCGGCTCACAGGAAAGCCAGGATGTGTTGCAGTTAAGGGCTGGAGTCTGATCACAATGCAGCGTACGTGCATGCTGCATCCCATCCCCAAGTGAAAAGGAGAAGTGCGTTGGGCAGTAACGACTCGTGATAAAAAGTTTCGCGATCTTTTTAGGCTTCTCTCTCTCTCTGTTGTTTTTTTTTTTGGACTGTTTTGGCAGCATTTTCTATGGACTGGCCGAACAAAAGTTCGAGAAAAATGGAAGTACCAGTGCAGGCATTTTAAGTTACGGGAGTATTCAATGAACATAATATCCTATTCCCTTGACAGGAATGGAGTATTACTTTCAGATAAACGGAGTTTTGTGTTTTCTGTATTTGACTTAAAGAGTTTACTGTACCCGCTGCACTTCAAAACTGCACAAGTATAACATGTTGAAAACAGCAAGTTCGCAGTGTCTATTGGGCGAAGAATCATTGCATATCCAGAAGTGCCCTACATTGCAAGGGGCCCATACTACCCAACACCTTAAAAAAGGTCCTAGAAAACGTACCTGGATGGAGACACCGAAGTTATTTCCGTCTTCGATTCTTGGGATGAGAAGTTGGATCCACATCTTGAGTGTGTTTATGTGGTCAATCATCAGGCAAACCTTAGGCTTCAATATGTTGATAATATCCACCAAGTGTTTGTTGCAAGGTGCTAAGCCGTCAGGTAGTGCCAACACCCTGGATCCTGTGGTAGACAGACAAATGAGAATGAGATTTGAAAAAAATGTCAGTAATGAAAGTAAGAACTGGTAAGCACGCATGGTAGGTGCTCAAGGCACAGCAGCATTGCTACCCCTGCTCACCATGCCTATAAACAGCACCAGTCTAATAGCTTAGTGCTGCCATTTTGGTGCAAACCGCTTTATTCAAACAAAGCAACCATCTCTCGTACACATCTAGAGGTTGTACATGTTGCCAAAAACATACTCAACTGCAACTCTGTTGATCGGACTGGCACTAAAGTGTGTCAGTGACAGTAATGCTTCCAGTGTTTAATGCTGTACAGGCAATCAATTATTACACGTTTATTGCTGTCAATTCTTACCAACCTTGGACTGAATTCACTTCCCCGTCTTCATCCACCTTCCTCTTTTTTCTCTCTGGCATCTGGAAAAATAAAGAGCAGTCAAACTTTGCTTTTACTTTGGATGAAGTCTTGTGCATGCTACAAGTTGTTTTTAAAAGAGAAAAAGAAATCCACCGCATGCAATTTGTCTACTTTTGGAAGAGCATTTTACACCAAGAAACAGTTCAGAGGCCAAGTAATGAACAAATAAATCAAAATGAGCTTATGATGAAATCATCTTACTTCACTGTTGATGACAACCAGTGGTTCTGGTATGGGGATGTTGAGCTTGCTGTGAACTTCAGGCATTCTACTTCTGGACAAAGTCTCTGACTGCAGACATCAATGAAATCAAACCAATTGTAAAGCTAAGAGTGGCATTCGTACTCAAAGAAATCAAAAACCATGTCCCACCTCAAGTAAGTCAACAACTGTTTACTACGTTGCAATTCGTGAACATGGCGAACATTGCAGGTTGTGCGTCGAGAAATATTCACACAAAGAATTTTAGAAAGTGCAGGTTATGCATATAAGTTCTCACTTTTGCTGTTGCTTTGTTGACTCAAAAATTTTGATTTTCAGCAAGATCAAATATTCCAGGATTCAATCAATTATAAATTAAAAATTGCAAAACAAACTGTATTCTTTAAACTGTCTTCCAAGACATACTGTAGTGAATGGGCTCCGTGCACAATTACCTCCTCAACGGTAAGGAAGGAGGGGGAGTTGGGGGAGACCACTGGGAGAGACATGTGAATGCATTACTGACGTGAAGACGCTACAGCTTTGTGCACATTCAGAATCGAATTAGTCATGTGCCATATGTATTGTAAGAACAAGTACACCCACGCGGTGTGTGCCATCATCGAGGCTCTCAAAGGGGGTAAGTAAGAGCCTTCTCTTGTTTGGGCATGGAGCTCATAAAGCCTGGTACCAGACTTGGATGACATACCTGATGCAGCTCATTCAGCTCAACAATCTTTTGTGGGAAGACAGTGTGAACGAGTTTCTCAGCCTAATATGGGGCAAAAAAATAAGAGTTAAAAGCCACAAATACACATGTCAGCCTAAAAAAAATCTGACTGGTGTTCCTTGCACAAAGACATTGACAAACGGGGAGACCCCAATGAAAGTGCTGGATCTAGCTCAGTGGCAGAATGTCAAGGGTAGTCTAAAAAGTTGCAGGTTTCTTTGGTGAAAGAGCCTGGTATTATTAACTGCTTGTTGAGATCACTGGCCATGCTGGTCCGTAACCAACTCGGTCCGTAACCAGCGCGGTAAATAATGTATTATTAACTGCTTGTTGAGATCACTGGCCATGCTGGCCACCAGACAAATTGCTTCACATTTTTTTGTTCAATGTCTAATTTATTATAAAATAAAAAAAACCCTCTGCACAACTAATTGATGCTATATTTTGGACAAAGAGTTATGATGCACAGAGACCAATTGGGGGCACAAATCTCACCTCCTCAAGCAGTCTATTCTTGAAATCCTCAACCTGTTCACATTGTTCAAAGAAAAAAAATTGTTAATATCAGATGCAGTAAATATGACACATATTTAAGGAAAAAATGTAGTATCCGGCATGTCCGGCCGCCACTTCTTAGGTTGTGTATAAAAGGCTATGGAGAGTCGAGTGCATTTTAAGGTGAAGAAAAAAAGTGTAGGTAGGCCTAATTAACAAGTAACAACATAACACTAATTTATTAAATTAAGGTTAATACGAATACAGAAAATGACAATCACCATGAAATGAACGCGTTACTTAATGTTAGTCCTAAAACTCACTATAAACAATAGCAATAAGCATTCTTTCAATAAGCCTTAAGTTAGAACACATTTCATCATCAGCAATATGTTTGTCACAAATTTTGGTAAGAATGTAGTATCCATCCAGGCCACTTCTTTGGTTGTGTACAATGACGCTATCATCAGTCGACCGCGCTGCAACCAGTCAAATACCTTTCTTTCTAATTCATGGCTCTCTGCACTCCTGGAGGATTTTTTTAAAAAGGTAAGGAGTCCAAGATATACGTCATGATCGACCGATATCGCAGCGCGATAACTTATCGAGCCCAAGAACAGTGACCTAATCATAGGCCACAAGGCCACACTTCCAATTTTGATTTTCACATTTAGGCTTAGTAGTTTATGACGTCACGCGGAAGCGTAACACCGGATGACTGTTTCATGCACTATTGGTTGCGGTTCCAGTACCAAAGCTGTGATGCGAGTGGTAAACCTATTAGTGCATGAAACAGTCATTGGGTGTTACACTTCCGCGTGACGTCATGTGCCAACAGCCAGCGCAGCCGGCAAAACCGAGTAGTTGACAGCGATCGCTCTCTGTGCCTGTTAATCGACCGCCATTCATTGTACACAATTTTTTTTGTGCACAAACCAATTGCGGTCCTGGCCATGCCAGCAAGGTTGTCAGGTTAGCGGTTATTCCTCCTGTTTTCACTGCAATTGTAGGCTGAATCTTCATCGTGGATCGTTTTTTACTTCAAGGACCTGTGTAATGGTTATTCCAGGCAAGTTTGGGGTGAGTTGCAGTTGCAATTAGTGTGTAACGGGGACAAAATTGAACATTTTCCAAAAATGTTTGCCTATACTACAAGTTACGAGAAAAACTCGCTCCAGCCCTAGATGACAACCCAATGATAAAACTCAGGGCTGGGTAACTCCAGCTACATGTTTGTCATGTTTGTACATGGTGGAAGTGTGGCCTTTATTTACGGAAGTAGTCCAGTAAATTGACCACATTTATGGGGCTACCTCCATGCATATAGTAACAGGGAATGGCATAATTATTTATTAATTAGGCTATGCATAGAATGTTGTGTCAACGTGGTCATGGTGTCAATTAACATTCCAAAACTAAAGACTTTAAACTTAAAGTTTAAGTTAAGTATTTTAAACATGAATAAGATTAAGAACTGATTGTTCGAATCTTTAAACTTGCTTTTGGCGATGTATTCTCACCTTTTTTAGATCTGTACCCGCCATACCTTCAGAAAATATGACGAAAATCAGCGGAACATTGGCAACTTCACAAACTTAAGTTAAGGAAATCTACTCGCTATTATTACAAAATCACGTTCGTTTTGCATGTGTGTTTCCAGTCTGAAACCTCTTTATTCAGACAAGAGAGTCAAGCGTTAAAGAGCTTATGTTATAGGAACCAGACTAAAAACGCGCGAACAACTTCCAACCAATAGAGGGCGGGCAATGAGCGGAAGGAGCATGGGGTAGCAGACCAGTAAACAAACTTCCATAGACCCCAATGGTAAATGCTCCCACTTCAAAAATTCGGGGAAAATACTCACAACTCTCCAAGGTTTTCGAGACACACATCAATTTAAAGCTTATTTCATCATCTTTCATTTTCTTTTCAAATTTCAAGGGGTCAACTGATGACGTTTAGGAGAAATTTCCATCTGAAGATGATCACCCCTGAAAATAGTCCTGAAGCCCATCGCCATAATAGAACGCTTTTAGGGTCCAAATTACATCAAAATTACACAGAACTGCAAGCTCCTGTGCACGGCTTCCACCCAGGCAATTTCGGACCGATTTACTGGTCTGCACCCATGATCAGCGCGCGCCTGGCCGCGCCATTATGTATGTGTACTGTGAGTTTGTCTACAGTCATCATATGCATTACCGGCTGTCTTGCAAAAAGTGGTTCGGCGAGCTTTCTATACAAAACCTCATTGGCACGGGTTTTGTGCGTAAACCTTATCAGTTAGCCGATCACGCTCAATTGACTTCGGCAAATCCGCAAGTCCAAAGAATAAGTTAACCGGACCATATTTTCCAAGAGTGTGTTTCTAATGACTGTGCACATACGTGAACAAAAGATGCCCACATAATGCACGTTATGTTGACGTTTGTGGACTAAGCCGTGTCCACGTAAAGTTTCGCCCTCTCTGGAAAACAGGTTTAGAGGTATTTTTTGGGTCAGGGTTATGTGTCGCAGAATGAAGCAGAAACATTCAAGGAAATTTAAAAAAAAAATTTAAAAAAATTGGGAGTTGACCGAGTTTTCACAGTTTAAGTAAAGTTATTTTTTGTACCCAGGAGTTTTCTTAACTACATGAAAACAAAGGAATGTCCACCTAGCGTATGTAAAACAAACATGGGTGTACACACATCATGGTACACCATTGATCTCCATTAGTAATAGAGATCAGTGGTACACACACACGCACACCCACGCCTATAGGTATATAGAAGTGGGCGGTACTTCCTTTGTTCTCGTGTACTAAAATTTTGCAACGTCGCACACTTATGTCAAAATGCTCTTATTTTAACCATAGTTATTTCCTGGGCTGAAATTTGGCCCCCTTTTCTGAAACTCTTCCATTTGCGACGGATCAACCCACCTTGGAAATTACTAGTTTTTGAGTAAAATCCATATATCTATTTCGTGAAAAACTTGTGGGGTACCAAAACGATACCAAAAAGGAACCTTATTAATATTCGTGAGGATAGACCACTTTTCCCGCTCTTACATATCCCTCCGCATTCGCGAAGCCAAGGTCCTCCCTAGAATATGAAAATATCATTTAATTATGAAATAATCATTTGGTTTCTCTCTTTAATACAAAAATACACCGTGGAGGAAAACGGCGAGTTAATTATTACATGCCAAGCAGTATGGGTGCACGTAATTAGTTGATAACGTTAATATTATGCTATATATACACAGCTTATAAAAACTTCTGCATTAGGGTTGTTTTTACACTGTAAAAACGTTGGATAAAACACTGTTGGGCAATGTAATTTACCAAGCATTGGTATGAAATTGTCTCATATTGGGTTGAATTGGGTAAAAAACGTCAAACTGTTGGGAAGAATTTTTCCCAAGAGTATAGGCAGTTGATAATTCGACCAGCGTTGTTCGAATTATCAACCATTTTGCCCAACTGTTTTACAGTGTAGGTTGTTGTAAACAAGAACGTTTATTTTATACCGAGGCAAGTTATATTTAGACACAGTACAGGTCTCGATCGAATGACAAAACGACATAGATCAGATCTGGCTTATCATCCTGTGTACATGCAGTTCATTACGCTGTGGCATTCAGGTGAAATTTTATAAAAAATTGATTACTCTGCACTCGGCGTTAAAATGAGCGTCTTTTGAATTATTCAATATTACTATTATATGCCATTAATATCATCACAAACCCTACCCGACCAATCCCGAATCGCCACCTCGATATTTGATCTTGTCATTCAGTCTCTCTATAATGTAAAGAATTTCAATTAGGAAAATCATACAGCGAGAACGGTTCAGCTGAGAGGGCCCATGCAGTTTGTGTCGTAGTGCTTCTACGTTCATGTGAATAAGTTTGCTCTGTCCGACGGTTCTGAACTATCTGCGCCGGCTGCCATCTGCTTTGACATAGATAGACATTCTGTGACGGTTTCAGAGCCAAGTCTTTGGTATCTTTGGTCATAATACTGAGGTAAACTGTTACTATAGCGCTCGGTGTAAAATTTCTCGTACATCAAGACGACAGCGAAGTTGAGGCCTTGCTCGAATAGCGCCCAAAGTATTAATGGTTCGATGAGACAAACTACTAAACTACTGGATTATCACCTGTCAATATGGGTGCTAGATTGATACTTATTACAATTGTTTTCATTTACCTTTGCTCACTAATAATTAGTCCGATAGACGGTAAATGGATTATGTGGGGTCAGTCGCTTTATAAGATGGATCCTGATCAAGTAGGCGCACAGAACTACGCAAATGCCGTAAAGTCTGGTAAGAAACACTGTGCGCGCCTGGTTGTGCCTTCCTCGCAAGCCGAGAACGATTTCATCTGGGGATTATATCAAGCTGCGAATCCAACCAATGGCATGTGGATTGACTGCTCGCAAGACGGAACAGGTAAATGGAGCTGCGTAGATGGTGGCAGTAGCGATACTCAGTATCGGAACTGGTCACCGAGCCACTTGCCCGAGATCCAGGAAGAGCACCGGCTTTGCTCCAGGGTTCCTCTTCTCACCTGGGCCGATTCGCCTGGTCAGTGGCGAGCTACAAGTTGTTCGGATCAAAAGTTAATCATGTGTGAGAAGAGCGTACAACCGCCAATTATTGGTCAGTTTCCCGATGTGTGCACTAAGGTGGCCGGTGACGGCCAAAGCTGCCTAGCTGCCCAGCTTGTCAAAAGAGTGCATTCTAAGCACCTCTCAAAAGTCGCAATGCATGATGGAAGCATCAGAGATGACCCTTGTGCCGAGATGGTCATCGACTATTCAGTGATGTCTACTGAAGTCAAAGGAGATAGAATGCCGGTTGTGTCAACGAATATCGCTGTTCGCTATTCCAACCAGAGGCCCTCAGGTGGCGTGACAGGGACACCGTAGACCTGTGTCAGCTGATGTTTAGAAACATCGGAATTGTTTCTAGCTGTGCCTGTTCAAAACGTTCCTGTTTGTAACCTGCAAACGGGGCGGTATAGAGTGCAGTGACCGTATAACAGTGCGCCATATCTACACTTCATCGCAAGTTGCGCGATCTCCCCCTTCAAGAAATGGTTGAGCCATTACAGTCACGTGTGTTAACCCTTACTCTTAATCTGTATTTCGATTATCTCCAGAACCCGATGTGACTCGAGTCGAGTCCGAGTCACGTCACAAAAAATTGCGACTCGAGACGGACGGGGACTTAAATCCTTGACTCGTAGCTAGCTAGCCAGCGAGGCGAATCATCGGTATACTTGTGAACACTCGAGTGCAATCTGCATCAAAGTTCATCCGCCGTAATAGCACTTTGTCATTTTTTTCAGTATTCCAAAGTTGTGCGCACATGTGCCATTACATGTATTGTCATCACTAAACCGACCAATCGTACGTCGCCAGATCCCCCGTCGTAAAGCTCTCTCTCTCTCTCTCTAGACATTTCATTCTATGGAAATCATTGTGACGAGAACGCTTCAGCTGAGAGGGGCCAGTTGTGTCCTAGGTGCATCTATACGTTCATATAAATTGGGTATAGCTTGCTCTGTCCGAACTAGAGGTCTGCCGTCTGCGCCAGGCTACCGGCTATATCAACTCCTACACTGACACCTGCATTCAAAGCCAACTCTTTGGTAATCATACTGAGGTAAACTGTTGCTATATAGGCCTATATATAGCGCTCGGTGTAGAATTTCTCGTACATCAAGACGACCGAGCGAAGTTGAGGCAAGTTGCTCGAATAGCGCCCAAAGTATTAATGGTTCGATGAGACAAACTAAACTAGTAATCTCCACTTACTGAAGTAGTTTACGGAACTGCAGCTGAAAATAACTGTCAAGTTAAAACCACCAAGAACACATGGAAGAGTTATCACCTGTCAATATGGGCGCTAGATTGATACTTATTATTGTGTGCATTAATATTTGCTCACTAATAAGTCCGATACACGGTAAATGGACTATGTGGGGTCAGTCGCTTTATAAGATGGATCCTGATCAAGTAGGCGTACAGAACTACATAAATGCCGTAAAGTCTTGTAAGAAACACTGTGCGCGCCTAGTTGTGCCTTCCTCGCAAGCTGAGAACGATTTCATCTGGGGATTATATCAAGCTTCGAATCCAACCAATGGCATGTGGATTGACTGCTCGCAAGACGGAACAGGTAAATGGAGCTGCGTAGATGGTGAGAGTAGCGATACTCAGTATCGGAACTGGTCACCGAGCCACTTGCCCGAGATCCAGCAAGCGCACCGGCTTTGCTCCAGGTTTCCTGATCTGAACTGGGTCGATTCGCCCGGTCAGTGGCGAGCTAATAGTTGTTCGGAGGGGAAATTAATCATGTGTGAGAAGAGCGTACAACCGCCAATTATTGGTCTGTTTCCCGATGTGTGCACTAAGTTGGCCGGTGACGGCCAAAGCTGCCTAGCTGCCCAGCTTATCAAAAGAGTGCATTCTAAGCACCTCTCAAAAGTCGCAATGCATGATGGAAGCATCAGAGATGACCCTTGTGCCGAGATGGTCATCGACTATTCAGTGATGTCTACTGAAGTCAAAGGAGATGGAATGCCGGTTGTGTCAACGAATATCGCTGTTCGCTATTCCAACCAGAGGCACTCAGGTGGCGTGACAGGGACACCATAGACCTGTGTCAATAATTGATGTCAATATCAAAACGCGCCATAAGTTCGAACCAACTGTATATTAAGAAATATGACGAGTTGATGATATTTCCATACCAAAAAAATCATGTCGAAAAAAATATTGCGAGTGAACGACTCTATAACACACTGAGTATACAGTGTCTATACGTCGGTGAAGGGACAAGGCTCCTATTGACTCTTAGGAAGCCTTGATTTTTCCTTATCCAAGATTGTGGATGAACACCTGAGAAACCGCAACAGTGCCCGTCGTTCGCATGTCCGACATTAATCACGTCTGTGATTGGTTAAAACGCCTAGAGGCGGGGCTTATCGATCCATCTGACGACGCTGCAATGGTATCGATGTCCGAACCATGACGTCAATTTCGATTCCCTTGGCTAAAACCCAACATGACAATGCCTGAACTTTAGCATCTCTCTCAGCGTGACATATTGATAACTTCGGTAACAATAATCATGAAAACACAAATATACACGGTGAGTACAAAGTAGCTGTAACAGGAATTCAAACTTGTTTTAAAAAATCAAAAAAATAAATAAAGTGCCTGACATTTCATCCCGTAGCGAGGACTTCTTTAGTCTTGAGTATCGCCCGTTATCCACGGAGCCAAGTCTCCTGTATAACGTCCGATATATCTAAGCATGCAGATTTATGCGATCTCGCGCCTCATCCAATCGGAGTCAACTTGACATGACAGAAGACCTGATATAGAAAGCGCCCGCTGATTGGTCAAAATCTAGATGTCAAGATGCGGTTGTCTTGCATTAATTAATCAGCGAATTTGCTCAAGTGTAATAGACCATGGTGTAGGTCATGGTCTATTCCATGGACTAGGACTTCTTTTGTCTCTGAAAAAACATCCTTGCAAAGGATGAACTATCAGGCCACTTTATGGTTTTTTTTTTGTAATTTGTATATTTCAGGTCAATGCAGTCAGTGAGCAGTTTGCAGCAGTTTTATTCATTTTCCAAATTATTTTTCATTTTTCCTAATATATGACGATATTTTCATCGTTTTAAACCACGCGGCTTCGTGAATTTTTATATTCACGCGATGATGTACTGAAGTCCTCAAGACATCATCAGTTAGTTGATAGCTTGCTGCTTGTTTGCTTGCTTGATTGATTGATTTGATCAGCCGTATCTGGATACGGACTTGTATCAATATCACGAATTCGCGATACATGTATTTTCTTTCGTAATAATGAGAATCATTTGACAACAATAGCAAAAGTTTTATCTTTTTAGATGTAGATGAGATGAGTTTTTTGGAACGCATATGCGGGTAAGCAATGTTGTGTTTCATATCGATGAATACATGTGAGATTAATTTAGGCTCATTACTGAAACGAAAACCTTTTGCTTGCATGTTTTTACGGGACTTTGTAAAATCGTAAATTTGTATGCGCAGTGTTACATTTTCTGCTCAAATGCTGCTTGGAAACAGCTCGCGCTTTTGTCATATACATGTACTCAGGGATTTAGCAAGGTTTAATTTGAAGAAAAAAAACCCCAAATATTCTCCTCATCAATTGACAAAAATACATTAACATGCCCACTGTAATCTAACATGAAACATTTCCATGCCGCTACGTTATCTTGAACACTTTTCAATATGCCTACGCGGGTTTTACACATCGCGTAACTGCTACAAATCCACTCAATAAACTAAGACAATTAAGTACATACACGAGAACATCAAAACTTACGACTCTGTCAATCTCTAGAAAAGGTTCCGTAACAGCTACAGATATAAATGTAAAGCACAGAAATGTTTCATGTTAGATTACAGTGGGCATGTTAATGTATTTTTGTCAGTTTATAAGGAGAATATTTTGTGGTTTTTTTCCAGATTAAACCTTAATTGCTAAATCCCTATCAGGAGTGAATGAACAAGAGTGAGTGTTTCCAAGCAGCAGTTGAGCAGAAAATGTAACACACACCACTCCAAATAATGTTTGTAAATTAAACGACAGCGTTAAGCATCATCCCATAAAGTGAACAAATTTCTTGTATTATCGTAGAACAATGGTGAGGTGTTCATGTATTTTTAACTAGGCTTTTTTAAGCAACATTTAACACATAAAATAAGTGTTCCTAAACAGAAATATCAATGTACAGATGGGTATGAAAACGCTGAAAGGGCGTGGCCACGCCCCATTTTGTATATATACATGTACATGTGAAGAATAGTAAAATTTCCAATGAAAAGCAATACATGTAATGTCATATTGAGCAATAATGAAGATGTGTGTACAAAAAAAAACCTGTTAAAGAGCAAAACGAAAGTCTTTGATCATGGTAGCGCATGTTTATTTCTGTATAATGTAAATACATGTATAATTGACCATTGAAGCTGTAAATATTTGTACATGCAGTAATTATTTACAATCCACTTGCCTCAGTTCTGAAAGATTCGATCGTTCATCCCACTTCGGATCGATTACATAATTATACTCTACTAATACATTTGTAGAACCCGTTCATAGATAGCCATTTCCGTAGGAACATTACAACTGCGTATTCAGTGCCATCAAGGTCGTGTGTGCTGTGTGCAACATGTTCTGAACTCCCGGCGTATTGACTCCCAAAATGCAGATACACGTGACAATTTGTTGGCAGTGACGTCATTAGATAGACTTTATTCCTATTTGCTTAAAATTGTATATGCGATATCATTAAAAGGCGTACAACTTATTACACTAAATTAAAGCAAAAGAATATACTGAATTAAAAAAAATTAAAGGCGTTTAAGTCAGTAAACATGTTCTTGTCCTGAATGCGTACACTACAATTTCATCCATTTCGAAATAATCTGTAGACTAATTCAGCGACAGCCAATTTCTAAGACGGCACCTGCAGCAGGCTGGTGAGAATTGTGCTCAGGTAGTACACACGCGGGGCTCCTTCATCCAATAGAGTTACGAAATGCAATGGACCGTGTCTTTCAGAACGCGTGAGGCTTGTGCGCGAAGGTGGTGCCCTCTCAAAAATAACTAATTTTGTTCGCAGAATTCATCCATACAGCATGTTTCTGTTGTTTGAAATATCTGACTTTTTTTGCTCCATGCACCACACCATAGTTTATAACACAATCCTCAGCCCAATCTGTATCAATTTACAAGGCAAATTAGTTTACAAAGTTTGTACACGTTGGATTTGATTGTCAATTTTTTAAGTTACTTCTCAGACAATGAAAAAGAATGGTTTTGAAAGCCGTTTGTGGGAATTTTCAAAATAAAAACCAAGCTATTCAATCCCCATTGATAATCAAAACTGATTTTACTGTATGTGAATTTTAACATGCAATAGATGACACTCGCGAAAGTTGCAGTTTACATCATGGGTCTATAAAGCCCTTCAGACAACCCCCATGATTTGAATTTTGGGGTTGGGCTTCTTTTACGGGTACCCGAGTACCCTTGTTTTACTTAAAAAGCGAACCTGGTTCCTGTACTACCCGTAAATGAACACCAATAGGTGCAACATTTTGTACGTGTAAAAAAGCTACAGGAACTGTAGTTTCCCCAAAATAATCAATATAAGCTCCCCTTTTAGCATTACATATTTATGACTTAATTAATTGCAAGGCTCACATAATGAGTTTTATGAAATGGTTGTCAGGCAACCAATTAGCATGGGTTTGACGTCTGCTGTATTGAATAAAGCTGTTGCTAAGCAACAGTGCCCATGGGACTTTTGGAGGAGCTCATGTGTGTCTGGTAACTGTGCATGGGCAACTGTCAATATCCAAATAGCGTCATCATCTCATGCTTTATTTCTGGTATTCTGATGATAGGTACAAGCCTTTCACAATTCACATCAAACCGTTTTCAATCTGAACTTTCTGATTATTCTAAAAAAAAAATATGTTGACAAATAACTCGTGAAATTGTCTTTCATTTTTTGTATAAAACAGATTGAGGCATCCAACAAATTAGTCAAAAGAATGACAAGCACTCTCAGAAAGCCTTAGTAATTGGCCAAGTAAGCCATTACTAATTACAGTGGACTCTCGTCAATACAAATTCTGGTGATAGGAGCTCATGTGTGTCTGGTAACTGTGTATGGGCAACTGTCAATATCCAAATAGCGTCATCATCTCATGCTTTATTTCTGGTATTCTGATGATAGGTACAAGCCTTTCACAATTCACATCAAACCGTTTTCAATCTGAACTTTCTGATTATTCTAAAAAAAAAATATGTTGACAAATAACTCGTGAAATTGTCTTTCATTTTTTGTATAAAACAGATTGAGGCATCCAACAAATTAGTCAAAAGAATGACAAGCACTCTCAGAAAGCCTTAGTAATTGGCCAAGTAAGCCATTACTAATTACAGTGGACTCTCGTCAATACAAATTCTGGTGATAGCAAACATGAAGCCTTGGTCCCAACTGTGCATTCATGTGCACAATGAAAGGGACTGATGTTCTTCTTAATACAAAATTCGGATATAACAAACATTTTGGCTATTAAAGTCTGGCCGAGTTTGTATTAAAAATTTCATTTGAGATAAAGTACCACAAACTACAAAGTACTACAAAATTATGTATGTAGGTATCAAATACTAGAAAATACTATGCATGATGTGCCCACTTATAAGCTAAAGTACTGCATACTTTAATTTACTACTACATGTATTACCGGTAGTATTTTGTAGCTTTAGGTAGGGTTATGGTTAACGAGAGTCAACTGTACCTAAACACGTACCAGTTGATATCAACAGTTTGCAAAGCACAAATCTGCTTTAAAAATAATATGACATCACATCAGGTGACATCACATCAGGTGCCACAATTTCACAGGATGCTTGAGACTATTAATAACTTACAGTCAAGAAAGGTATTCAATAATAATTTGGTGGTTTTGTTTTTTGATGTTTGCAAATGTTGTATATTAAAGGAGAACAACAGATACAGTGGAATCTCGGTAAGGGAGCGTTTCAGTCAGGCTGAAAGCAGTATCCATTGTGGTACCAGTGTGATTCTTTGCGGTACCGCACTCCATACCCCAAACCAGGCTGATGAATGGAAAGCCATCAGGCCTGAATAACTGAATATTTATGAGGTCAAACATGGAGCGTGGAGCTCATTAAAAGCCCAGTAGGCTTGTCAAAGATTTCAAGTTTGAATAGGCCCTACATTGTTGAATGGGTGCGAGCAAGCCCGTGTACAAAAACCCCAGTGTACATGAAAGGGATTAGCTGGAGAGCAATTAAGGGATTAGTGCTGCTGTAATTGGATCCTTTGTGAAGGACACTCCATCAGCAGGCTGCCAGCAGGCCGCCAGCAGACCCCACACTCCTCATGAATTTATTGTGACTAAACTGCCTGTGTGCACTGACCTGTAAATAATGAGCTCATTATCATAGCCAGCTTGACTTAATCCTTGTAACGCAAAAAAATACCAATACCGCAATGGATACTGCTTTCACAAAATGACGTAACAATGCATAACGCCATAAGATCAGCATGATGTGCATAATACATTCTTTTTGGTACAAACCAGCCTTATATACCAACCCTCTATAGCCTCTTCAGTTTGCAAGGTTGCTGTATGTGTTGAACGCTGAGCCAACAGGTGATGCAATGTACACTCTGCCTTTACTCTGAATGGGTACAAAATGCTGACAGAAAGACGATAAAAGAGAAGCATGAAAACCGGATCAAGTAAAGAGTGCAACACTGAACTCAGCGTTTAACAAAAAATGGATTGATTAATAACTTTAGAAATACATTTGACCTGTTGTCTTGTCACTCATATTGTTAGTTACTGGCAAATTAAATGTGTGTAGAATGAACAATTGCTAGCACTGGTTATGGTTGTTTAATAGGGCATCTTGTCTAATGTTAAGTAACACAGGCTGTGCTGTACCTTCTGGACTCCTTCAAAATCTCCTTGGATGAGGATGCTGAAAGATGTGAACAGGTTCAAATTGCCATTATCTTGTCCATTCAAAATGTTGATTAACTATTAAAGCTTTAGCCTTAGGTCAAGACGTTGTTATTCCATGCATGATTTGTGATAACCCACCGCTGTGAGAGGGCATTATCACAACAAATCGCTATCATCCAAGAACCGCTATCACTACGTCTTGGGAATCTTGTAGTGGTTGTGTCATGCACGCGCACCTATTTTGTTTAATACATGTATCTATGCATTGCGCATTCCAATTCTTTCATAAAAATTAGCTCCGAACCAAACTATTAAATTTCACCCAGTAGCACACGAGATGCAGCAAGACTTCTTCATGGCAGCTCATTTGTGGTATGTAGTACGCCTGCGACAGAAAATGGACCGTATTTGCCTGCAGAAGTAGCACATGTGCACAAGTTTCCCCCATTTTCGCTGGGATATTCTACTAGATTTCCGAAGACGTTGTGATAGCGGTTCGTGTTGTGATAGTGGTTCGTCCTGATTTCGCCCTCTCGCGGCGGCCGGTTATCATGTATCCAATATACGTCTGAACCCGAGACTACTAAAGTTTAAGACAGCCTCACCATGTCATCGCCATCCATCAGTATCTTAGCAACAGGGTCCAAGCATTGTCGTTCCTCTGTGACACAAGTGCTGAACTTGCTGGGTAGCCGACAGGCATAGAGGGCGCACTCCTCATCTAGAAGCGCTTCCTGAAACAGTTGATTTGTTGTTGCTACAAGTGAAGGATGGGATAAGAACAAATCAAGAAAGGTTCAAACTTTATGGCATCCAACTTAAATATGAAATATTGGTTAGCCCCCCCCCAAAAAAAAACCCCAGATAATCATTTCACATATACATTATGTAATTACAAATTATAACGAACAATTGTCTACTTAATTCAATACAATTTACCAATGAAATTTGTTTTTATCAAAGTTCTACTAAATAAAATCTTACTTGAATGATGTTTTCCACAATTCCATTCCGAAATTACTTACTTGACAAAAGTGGTTTCATTTTGCTCTTCAAGAAAGCAGCTGCTCCTCCACTTGTCAATAGCTCTGCTCCTAAAGATAATGACCCTTGACCTCTGAAGTTCAATAGACCTGGCGGCCTCGCAGGATCTTCTCTAAAGTGTGGTTCAGAATGATTGCCTTCACTATCCAAGACAGTTGACGAAGGAGTTTGATCCAAAAAAGAATTTGATTTTTGTTGATGTGGAGGCTCTGGATGCGTAGCCAAATGTGCAGTTTCAGATGCGGGATAAGACAAAGTGCCAGATTGATAAGCACTGGTTTTGTCCAGCTCAGATACAGAGGTTCCTGTTGTAGCAGAAGTGGGGTAATCACTATGACCCAAATGATGTTGTAGTTGGTTGATGTTCCCTGACTCCAGTTTAGTCGAAGTGGTTGTAAAACCAACAGATGGGGAAGAACCTGTAAGATCAGACTTGTGCTGAGCAGAACCATTATGAATTGATTCTGGGTGCTCACTCTGGAGTGTGTGGCCTGATCGCAAAGGGACTGGAGACACAAACTGGACAGGTGAAGCCCCAATATCTGCTTCTCTGCCCCATGTAGACATACTACGCATTGCGAGAGGAGTTTGTATAGGAGGAACATCTCGTTTGATTGATACATGCTGGTTACTTGGCAGATTCAAGGATGGCAGAGACTGCTTCAGGGCAAGCTCCTTGATCATGGAATGTGGTTTGACAGCATGAGGAGTTTGGATGTGAGCTGGGGTTGATGACATCCATGACGACACTCTTCCAATTGGGAGCAGTGGATTGGTTTCCTTGTGGTCAGTCTCTAGTCCTGAATCCTGTTTAGAAGCCTTGCCACCAAGTCTAGGAGCGTCATCGACAAAGTTGCTTCCATTGCGGTCAAGACGTCTAGATGTCATCTGGGTAGCAGCCTGGGAGAAACTTTCTACAGGTTGTCGGAAGTTTAAAGCATCAGAAGGTGTAGGATGCTTGAATTCCATTCTGTCTCTTGTCCCATCCCTGTTAATCATTACCTGTGGTGCCTGTACCATACCATCAACCTTCCTGAAATCAAGGACCCTGGATTGCAGGCCTTCACTTTCATTTTTGGCCTGGGTCACAGGGTCATATGTCCTCATCTCAACAAATGGCTTCTCAGGAGTGTTCAACATTTGATGCAGCCTCTCAGGGTACAGTGCCACAGGAATGTCACAATTGTTGTTGCCATGGTGTGTTTTAAATTCTGATCCAGGATGAAATTGCAGTTGCACTGCCGATGACTCTTGACGTCCATGATTCCTGACAAATGGAAGTCCATTTTGTTTAAAAGGACTCCCTGGGCTGTGCTTAAATGCTGTCTCTACAGACTGGACTGATATTGCCCCCTCCCCTGATAGTGGCACGTCAAGCATCTCTGGGGCTCTTCTATCACTTGAACTTATACCCGCAATCTGCACAGAGTCTTGCGTTGGCAATGGAAAGTATTGCCTTTGCCGTGTTTCTGAGGAATCATCGATGGGGACCTTCCCTGGTGTAGGTAGAGGTATCATTTGGAGAGGGCGGGAAGCCACTTCCAAACCACGATGACTTTCTTGCTGTTTCTGATCTTCAGAGTTCGTGGTTGGTGGAGATGGCAGGTAGTCATCCTGCTGAAGTTTCTGAATCTCCAACTCAAGCTGTCGTTCAATCTCGTCCATTTCCTGCCATGACATAAAAAACAGAAAGAAAAACGTTGTTCAATGGTTTGCATTATGATACCATAGCTATTAGCAGCAAGCAATACAATTACAATTGGGAATCTAGTCCAGAAAAGTCAAGAAGCGTGCATTCAATGAGCGTTAGCCAAAGGAAGGTTGACCATACATGTATGAATTTCTTTTTTTTCTGGAATTCCATATTGGGTTTTACCCTTCACCTACGTATTTTATAAACACTGTATACTCAGTATTGTTTGTTATTTTTCTGGAACATTTTAAGTGTTCAAAATCTTGAGAAGCCCCCTTGCCAGCGTACTACTTATAAAACCAAAATACACTAGAATTAACAAAACTTGGAAGGAAATAAGAGACCTGTAGTTGGTTTCTGTGTATGGCTGCCTGCTGCTCTAGCTGTTCAATATCATCTTGTTTGGCCATGAGGCTAGCAGCCTGTAGCTTTCCTTCATTAACGGCAAGCTCATTCGTACTGTAAGGCTCCAGAAACTGAGTGTCCTCGTCTGCAAATAGTGTGGTTGCTAGTTCATCCTAATTATAGCAAGAGGAAAAGTGAACAAGGGTTTTAAAGACTATTCCTTACTGTACAAAACACAGTTCTGTTCAGCAGCAAATTTCATGAAACAGTAATTTATTAATTACAATGTTTTTTTATATCTTGGCAATAAAGGTATATATTAGGTTCCTACTTGTTAGAAATTTACTTAAATGTGGTCGCACTGACATTAGGAGAGCATACCTTGTTGGATGCAGTAGCTATTCTTCCACTGGGAGGACTCAGTACATCTGCCCATTTCACCGACAGTGATTTGTGAGCGTTGGACTTCTTAAGAGCTGAGGGTGGTGCCATGAGGGCTGGGGAACTAGACGTGTCTTGGCCCCTGAATGCAGCTTCCTGACGTGGGTTGAGAACACGGCTTGCCTGCAGTGGTTGGAGATAAAATCTGGAGTTATTCTCTGGGTGGTGGCAGGTGGGGGTGGGGGTAGGTATAGTCAGATTGGTGCAAAGGTTCTTTCCCCGTGAAAATTCCACCCATGCTTACTAGGTTTTCAGTTCCTGACTGGTTCCTTGGGTTTTACCTGGAATATTCAGGAGATTTCTTTCCAACTCTACAACTGAACATTTCTTCAGTGTCTCCTCTCTTATGCACGATGAACATTATCTACACAGCCAATGTCATGTCTGTCATGGAAATAATCCACGATTCTGGCCAGCCTTGCTCTCCAAAGGGCAAGCAAAAGATTGCTCTTACCTCTAAAGGTACACTATCCAGATGAAATTATGAGCATACCTCAAGTGCGTGCATTTATCACTTCATGTAGCTCCCTTTACCACCGAAGGACCATGACCACTGATTATCTTGGATCAGGGCAAGAGTTCAGTGCAAAAAGGAAAAAACTTACTGTTCCAGGAGTTATTAGTCTCCTAGGTGCTGACATCATAACATGTGACTTATTCATGGCCTTGGCGCTTGACTGGGGTGGAACTGAAAAGGAATTTAAAAAGTTGAACATATGAACTGAGCGAACAGCAAAAGTGACAGTTAAATGTTTCTGGAAAAAAACCAAAAAAAAGAAACTGGATGGGAAAATAAGAATGAAATATTGCAGTAAACTGTTTCCAATTAATACATTAGCACCTGTCCTTCATTGTATTACATTCTGTTTAATCCCTGACAAATTCATAACACCATCGGGTGCTTGGGCGGTTTCTGGCGGTACAGAGAGTAATTTGCAGAGTGGTTTGGGGCGGTACAGGGACTAACAGGTTAATTTCAAACTTAATTATGACTTCATTGCAAGCAAACCTGTTGTTCTTGCGGTGGTCGGTTGTTCAAGTGGCTGACTGTTACTTGAAGAAACCATGTTTTCAGCTAAACTCAACCGAGACAAGACGTGGTTGGCAAAATCTGTGTACACACGGTTGAAGTTCATGTTCCGAGGCCTCTGGTAGTAGATTGAAGTTCTGAGTGCGCCCTGCAACAAGTATAAAATAAATATACGTACAAGAAATACATATCAATCTGAAATAAAAATAACACAAGTAGAGATTCATGAAGCTTTTAGGCTGGGGACCTGCATCAATCACGACTAGAACCACTTAAAGCAAAGCTGAAAATCACCCTCATCAAAAAAAAAAAAACTTGTGAGAAGTAACAGTAAGGGAAGGATGCAAAAGTAAGAAAGAAGTAACTCAATGTTGAAATCAGATACCCCAGAAAACCTCAAAATAAACCTCGAATAACCACCTGTATAATTTCGCATTCTTCCCTAATAAAACAGAATGACTCTCCAAAAAACAGGACAAGTTATACTGCATTTTGACATTGGTGGCCTAACCTGTGATTGTCTGCCTGAGAACAAGCTCCCTTGGTTCCTGGCTACTCCAATGGCCGCACCAATGGTTTGTCTCGTTGTTGGCGCCTGACGCTGGAAGTTGGCTCCAGCGTTGTTGAGAATACTGGCAAGTGCCCCGGCATCAGCCTCAAAGTTAATTTCATTTTCTAGAAGGAATAAAAGATAACTTAAAAAAGGTGAAATTATTATTTTCTTCTCACCGAACACCAAACAATACCACAATTTTCTTTTTACCTTAATCTTATATAGAGGTTTTTCTCAGAAAATGTAAGGGTACATTTGTAATTGTATTTTAAAGCCTGTTAGCTTATTCATTCTGCCAAAGACTTAAAAAACACACATCATGTTTATTCTCTCACCCTGCTGCTGCTCAGCCAATGACAAGAGCCGTCCTGATTGTCCTTTATGCTGTTCTTGTTCCAGGGGGTAATCTTGCTTCCCAGGCTTAGCTGACTCCCTATCTATCTGATGGTTACCCATGTGTCTGGTGTTGTGGGCACTATTGGTCCGTCCCTGGAATGTGCTCGGCAAGGCACCCAGGGTTTGCCGACTGGGTTTTTGTTGCGTAACTGCAACTCCCCCTGAAAACAAATCAACAATGGAGAAACTCCTCAATAAAATCTACTAATGAGGTGTAGTAGTGAATCGGTATGATTGATACATTGTCTCAAAATTTTTATTGACTACTTCAAATACATGTATGTTGTTAGATACAGTTAACATCAACAATAAAGATCAGCTTGATATTTTGATACAGCTCTATTTCTGAATTATTGGGATCCCTTCAATTATTTCTCTCCATTCATCTCTGGAATAAAGTGGATTCCAATTCCAGTTTTGAAATGATTCTGTTCAGTTCTGGCCCAAAGTCATCTGAGCTTATCTAGTAGTACCTCCCCATAGAGCTATGTTAAATTAATAGAGAGCTAACTCCTTCTCATGCGCAGAGATACTTTCAAGCCATTCTGAGCCCAGACAGTTTGAGTTTATGTGCTTGAAGCCATAATGAAATTAGATGGAGTGTATTTTGAAAGTGTATTTTGAAAGTGTACAACTTAAGCGCACCATGGCAAAAATCATCTGCAGCGGATACTCGCACACATTTACGCTGTTTGCACAGAGCAAAATGAAACGCTCATTTACTGATCTTGCGTATTGGTTTTGGGCATATCGGCTTCGATAACACACTAGAATAGAAACGCAGATATGCAAATAGCCGTACAAAAGCCGTACAAAATTTCGAGTTTCCCATAGCATTGCGCACAAACACGGATGCGCCCAGCAGGCATCGCTTTGTATATCGAGTCAGCACTATAGTAATTTAATATATCTCTATGTACATGTGCCTACCATAGCCAGCAACGGTCAGTCTTCCTTGTTTCTGGGATGCATCAGGCAAGCCAGCATTGAGGATACTCTGCAAGGCTTCATCATCAGATTGGAAGATGTCTTCACCCCGTTGGTCCTCACTGGGAGCATCTTGTTTGCCGTTGAAGTACCTAGGCTGGAAAACCGCCCCCGGTTTAGTTAGATCAAACTCCCTGATCTATAAATTCAAATAAAAGTTGCAAAGAAAAATAATAATAACAGCAGTAAGAAATTCAAAGAAACTTGTCAAAAGCGATCCATTGCAGAATACCATACTACCATGAAATTCTTGAAATGTTTTCACAGTTCTGTACTATGAAGAAAAGATGAATGCCGATACTCACCTGTGTACACTGTTTCTTGGTGCAAGCCTTGCCCTAGAATAGAGTTAAAGAGAATGACAGAGTGATACATAAAATAAAACGTAAAGCATTCGGTACTTGAATTGTCCATCCTAGGCACAACAACAAGAAATAAACACCTTTACTGCCTGCACGCAATTGCCAGAATCTCCAACCTTGTCCTTGTCTTTAATATTACAATAATTTGAAATCACCTCATGAAAAAACCCAAAGAATTGCAAAATGCCCTGGGAACACAGAACTGGACATATGTACAGGGGGATAAACAACTAACTAACCAGAGATTGGAATCATTCTAACCTTGCTGAAGGATTGCTGCCATGACTTGTGTAGCTTAGCAAAGTCTGGTACCCTCCTGACTCTTGTCCTTGGTTTGCCACCAGTGCTGGTCTTAGTATCCTCCTCTGCAGGCTTATTAATAATCTTGGCTGAGGGCGTCGTCTTGACAGGTACCGGGATGTGACTGTCAAATTGACAAGTATGAATCAGTTAAGGCTTTAAGGAAATTGGAGGTGTTAGAGAAAGACAACAAAAACAAATAAATCAAATCAGTGTAAAAGTATTCAATTAACATGAGAAATAATTATAAACAATCGAAAGATCGATCACATGGGAAACAAAGATGGAGAATTGATTTACCCTGACTGATAAGTTTTTATTACCTTTTCTTGTATTTACCCGCCGAGTGCTGTTTGTTCTCTTTATTTTTTGATGAGGTACTTGAAGCAGTCCGTACACCAGCAGTGACTCTTTTGGTCTTTGGAAGGGGATTTGATCTGTGTTAAATTATCAAATTATCAACCAATAACAGTGTTACAGGATTCCTTACTTTTTTATATGTCATTTCTGAATGCTGAATATGTTTATTATTAACTTACTTTGTTCGTCTTCGTGATTAATGTGAATTATTACAAATTTAAAATGATCAAAATTGTCGTAACTCTTACAAAGAAAGTATCATAAGAAAAGTGAGTACTAACGTTACGTAATAGTAGGCCCCCCTATTAATCAATACTTTTAGAACACCTATTTTTCTTCTGCTCATTTTGAAACTTCTTCACAATGAGTATTTTTTCAAAATTAGGGTTTTCAGACTCGGGAATCTTCATACATGTACATGCATTCTACTTTAGCACTGGATTTGTTATCATTTCGTAATGGACATGGGGAGAAAATGTAACACGTACTTTTACCAGTTTTGGTAGAAGAAAACTAGAACACGCGTGAACATGGTGAAGCGGTGCTAATTGTCCCTGTCAACATGGTCAATGACACAATGAAAGCCCGATGCTGATTTGGCTGACAATGCTGATAAAAAAATGTACAAAAAACTACAAAATTATTATTTTTATCAGCCAATCAGCATCGAGCTTTCACTGTGTTCGGAATTCGGCACTACTACCACTAGCCCCACTAGTGTGGCCGTCGGTATGCTGCGCTGAACCCAAGGCCACACACCGTGGTCTGCGCACTACTGAGGACGTTTTCATAAATTCAACAGCGAATTTCTTACATATGGTTGTATTCTACGATGTCCCAACTTTCACTTCTGGGATGCTTGGGTGTAATGATGTTCAATTTTCCAAGATATTCTTGAATCTTTCTGGAGCCCATATGCACTCATGAAACGTCTGGTGATGGCAGCCATTTTCGAATGTGACAAGAGATGACCTCAAGCTGTGACGTCGCGTTTATGCAAATTGCTTGTCGAGCGAGGGCGCGAGTTGCAAATGCGACGGCTGTTTCCTGTACCATGCATTTATCGTCTGGGGGCCACGTGCACTGATCTCTATTCAGGATCTACGGCACAGGAAACAGCCGTCGCATTTGCAACTCGCGCCCTCGCTCGACAAGCAATTTGCATAAACGCGACGTCACAGCTTGAGGTCATCTCTTGTCACATTCAAAATGGCTGCCATCACCAGACGTTTCACGAGTGCATATGGGCTCCAGAAAGATTCAAGAATATCTTGGAAAATTGAACATCATTACACCCAAGCATCCCAGAAGTGAAAGTTGGGACATCGTAGAATACAACCATAATCCATATGTAAGAAATTCGCTGTTGAATTTATGAAAACGTCCTCAGTAGTGCGCAGACCACGGTGTGTGGCCTTGGGTTCAGCGCAGCATACCGACGGCCACACTAGTGGGGCTATACTACCACTAGCACTGTCACCGTCTCGGTTTTCAAATTCAAGCGTGTTTTCTGGTTGTCGTCATCTTGGTCGTCTTTTCCCCCGCATTTTTCCCTCATAAATCAGCTCTCTTTCCACAAAATTTAACCTGCTGATCCAAGAAGGTGTCATTATATTACCAGCTGCCTAATTAAAGAAAATTTTAAATTATCGATTATCAAATCAAAACACAGATGAACATTGTTAATCGCGTCCGGAAACTGGACAACATTTGCGTTCCGCTGCACACAATAGGGCCTAGATAACTGCACAAACCTGAGATTGTAGGTTGATGTTGGGCGAATTCGAGCTTCACCTGACGTTGGCATGATTTTATTTATTGTAATAATATTCTAACATACAGTGAAAACAAATAATCAATTCATTTTCCAAATTCCAATTTCCATATGACCTGTCGTGATCGTGATTTTCCTTCCGATCCGCCACATCGAGTCCCCGTCCGACGTACATCAACATTGAATTTCCCAGACGAATCTTTTGATTGGTCAACAATACTGCATCCAACCAATCATAACCGTTGTAACGCGGGCAACGCGTCCCCGAAATGTATGTTCGTGTATTTTAAACATACGCGTTTATTTCAACGTGTACTTGGTGATTAAATACGGTGCCTTCAAAAGGCCATTTTATAGAGAAGAAAAACTCTCTCTGCAAAGAACGAATTTTCTCTACAAAAACTTAATAACTGCTATTTTACAATCGATACCCAATGACTTGATTTGTTAATCTTCTGATTCGGTCCTGGTAAAAGTTATGAATTAATTGGTTTTTGCGACAGGTCATTTTCCTGCGCCAGTCGCAATAAATTATGAAATTCGACAAACAGAAGCCCCTAGTATTTTCTCATCTTTTTTACCCCCTAGAAACCGCCTTTAGGCCTATTATAGGAGCGCCCCTTCTGATCCCCCTTTCATGTCACGTGGTTACACGGGCTTAATTACACCATGGAGAAACTTGCATGAGCATCGCCAGGATTTTTTTTCTAGAGGGGGGAAAAACTCTCAAAATCCTTGTACTTTCTCTAGCATTATTCTCAGTTTGTCATTTTTTCGAGGGTGGGCGGGGACATTTGCCAACCCCACCCCCATTGACACCCTGATGTCGCCCATGTTGTTATTAAATGTGTGTTACATTAACAGCAACATGACTTCGCACCTTGTCTTCTTCTTTCTTCTTTGTTTTGTTTTTGTTTTCTCTCCTTTTTTTTAGGGGGGGGGGGTGCTTTTCCGGTGTCGCCCCCCCCCCTTGCGACGCCCATCATTACACTTGTCTTAATAACAGTCTTCTCATGGTTGCATCGATCATGCCCAAATGCTCAGGGGTCCATTTTGTAATGGGTTCTCAAAGCTTTCTCTAATGTCGAAGTTATCTCACATTAGGTCTTTTATATATACAGCCAGTGCCGTAAATACGGGAGGGGGGGGGGGTCTCGTTCTGCTATGTCATCCGTCTGTTTGCATCGCTGATACTATCTGTGCACGTGTCTCACACTATAATTATGGACTCCCAAGTTGTCAGGTATGAAATAAATGGGACAGCATTCTAATGAATGGCTGTCCCCCCCCCCCCCCCCGTGCAAATTTATGCGAGCGAAATCAGAAAAAAAACGGTATGTGTTACACTAACACGCCTACATCTTGATCAAACCGTCGCTTCGCACGCAGCAAGTTAAAGTTTAACTTTAAAGTGGCGGGCGGGCTCGAGTATAAAAAAAATATGACACATTCTCGACGCGAGTATTCAATGGTCGGTTTCATGTCAGCGTTTTACAGCAGGGCTCATCATGAACAATCTACAATGAACAACATAATCTTCCCCAATTGTTTTTATCACTTTGCACTTTGAGCTTGTATGTAGTTTTGGTGATGTTCTATTATGCCGCTATCTGGATGGAATATAATCTGTTTCATACAGTCACACGATACGTATCAACACGGTCGTGAGCATTATTACTGAATGCGCATGACCAGTTTTATAGGCTTTATTTAGAAGCTTACGCATGTGAAAACCCACCTAATAGTGATTTCATTGAAGCCAGATAATTAATTTGCGAATTCCCCGGGTTGGATGGTGAAGATGGCCCTCCGTTTCTTCAGTTTGACGAGGACATCCAAGAAATGTCTTTTGCTGCTTCTGTTTTTGGTGGGTTTTGTGAATTGGTATCTCGGAATACGGTCTGTAGATTTGAGTGATCATGAGGAGCCAGGCAGGAATAACTATCGGGCTGTAAGTCGTGATCAGCCCGTAACTGAACACGGTAAGCCACACAACTATACGAAACTCGTTACACTAAACAAACGAGTGGACTCTGAATCCTGCCCGTCCTGGTGCTACGGGCGACCATCTCGTCATGACCAACATACCGAACGGAACGACAGCACTAAGACTAAGCCGTACTTCCTCACTGCCGTCTTGTCGTTCCGGATTTACGACTGGAAGGACAAGGCTAAACTCAGCACACGGGAGCTCAACCAGTGGATTCGGTACGTAAGCTACGCCGGAGCGGACCACGTGTATCTTTACGATGCGTACGTCTACCAGAACGAATCGCAGAAAGAAGGCGTTCAGGACTTCATCGCAAGCGGATTCGTGACGTACACGGATTGGCATCACCGTGCCGCACCCTTCTCTCTGGGATGGACGCAAGCCGGTGCGTACGCCGATTGTATCCAACGTTGGGGTGACCTCACCTCCTGGCAACTGGGAGTAGATATGGACGAATACCCCTTCGTTCCAGCAGACCGGGAGCCTGGATTTCTGGCCCGATACTTGCGGGCGTTTGATTCCTCGTCACCCACTGCGGCTAGCATCTCCGAGCTTAGCATGCCGAACTATCTGTACCTTGGCAAGCCATTGGATGTCAAAAAACACCCACTTCTCATTGATAGGATTTGGAGAAGGAGCAAAAAGCCAGCCAACCACCTCGTCAAGCCGGTATACAGGCCGGCTGCCATACGACATCCCGATATACATCACAATTCGCTCAAGTACGGGACTAGTAAAACTCTGCCTGATAATGGTTTGCGCATGAACCATTACTGGGGATCACGATTGCAAAATTGGGGCGATGACACGAAGGAAGTCCTAGATATGACAGTAGATGATAGAAGCATGGAACCCGTCATTGCTAGTCTATACAAGTGTGATTCGTGTAGGCCTCCGTACCAATAATCAGAACGTTTGTGCTAATTTTTCTTTAAAAATCCGGTGTTTCAAAGTGTTTTCAGTTTCTTTAATATTTCAATGGCATATCCATATTGATATACACGTCAGAAAAGTTCAGCAGAAATTTATCAATCCTGGCCAGCAATTTTGTTTATTATTTGTTGATTAAATCGGTCATTAGGGAACTTTTCCCATAGACTTGTGCACACATTTTTTCCAACTGAAATGTGCCCTAACCCAATTTTCCCGTGTCCTTTTTCCACGAATTTCGGTATTTTTTTCTAATTAGAACACGAGCAACAAATATAACCTAATTGCGACAAAAAAATTGCCTCCCCAGAAGGGTTTGCAGTTTATCTCCCTAAAAGCCGGTGTCTCCCTATAATGGAACATTTAGTAATATAATCTATTTCATTAAAAACTGATCTCGTTTCAACAGACTATCACTTGCCGGTCATTCAGACAAGCCCGCGGGAACGGGGGGTGTTGTGGGTGCTGCAGCACCCCCAACTATTGGGATTGGGGTGCTGGAATATGCTTCAGCACCCCCTACTCCCGGGCAAAAATATGTTCCAGCGGCTAAGCGCGGCGCTTCGAAAGTCTAGCACAAACACTGTAATATATCAGGAGGAAGTATTTTCTAGATTTTCAGGCAGTGCAGAATCGATATTTCTCTCAAGGTATCTAAAATCATGACAATGTCTATATGGAAGCCATTATGGAAGCTTTGACCCGAAAGCAATGACCTCGGCCATGACGATGGTGGCAAAGTTTTTTCATTCGATCTTTCAATAGGGGCAAATGATCATACCTTTCCCCTGAAGGTTTTTTCTTTTCATTTAAAAGTTGCATTGACGTTGCAAGCATTCTGTACTCAACGTAAACCAGTCATGCTTTACGCAAATTCCAGTGTAGTTTCGTTTTAATAAAACAAACATAGGCCTATTCATGCTTTAGCCACTGCAAGTTTTTCTTCATAAAAACTCTGTAGACCGATAAATCACTGCCTATTGCCCCAAACTTGCCATCTACCGATCATAAACATAAGGATACATTTGCCATTCCCTGTAACAAACAAATAACACTGCAAATATTTCGAGAGCCACATCGTTTGGTGAGTTAGTACTATGTGAATATTTTTATGAACAGAAATTCATTCGCTTCCAGTGGAACCATTTGTTTTAACTTAAACCAAAAAACAACCTTTCGGGTTTCAGTATACTACCAGTATATTTCAGTTTCAGTATACTACCAGTATATTTCAGTTTCAGTATTCTACCAGTATATTTCAGTTTCAGTATACTACCAGTATATTTCAGTTTCAGTATACTACCAGTATATTTCATCACAGTGCATCCAGAATCCAACATTTTCCGGGGCCTTAAAGCGGGCCGCTGGCTCTGTGGCCCCACGCCGTAAGGGCTCGGAAAATAAAACAAAACATACACGACGGAATTTACTAAATGTAAGAAAGCAGCCTTGCAACAATAATATTTACATGCGATGTCATACGTAATGATACAATTCTTTTTCCAGAATTAAATGGAACCAAAAATGGAGATAAAAATACAGGATTCTCCACTTTTCAGTACAATTAAACATGTTAAGAGCAACAGTATATTCTAAACAAAATAATAAAATAAATTGTCTTTATAATCTCAAAAAACTTTTGCTAAAAAAAGTCAAATGAAAGTGGCCAGGAATCGCCTCAGATTGCACCACAGAGCATCCATATTCCAAATTGAGCCACGACGTAAGGGCTTTGTGCTCAGCTTACGTATTAAATTTGTCCGTCCTTTTTAAATTCTAGCACCCCCTGACAAAAGTTTGTTCCAGCGGCAGTGTATTCAGACCCACACCCATTATCATATCCGTTAAATCGAAAACATTCATCGAAATTATTCAATGACACAAAAATGAAAGTTTATATTCAGTCCTGGAAACTAAACATGTCGTCCAATAAAAGCACACTTGTCGTGTGTATTTCTACAACTGACCCATCTGCTTTCTTTAATATTCCGTGTTTGCATGTCAACCAAGTGCCATTAAAGGGCCGTGCAGTGTGTTTTTTTTAAATGCACCTGCGTATCCACATGTAACATTATTAGTTGTTTAATTTTGGTGCTTTTTTGGTTTTTATGCTAATGAAAATTTCCACATTCACGGTGAAAGTGTGATATCATTTCAGGTAGAAACCTTAATGTATTTCAGCAACAAAACTTGCAAGAATGTTGGATATTTTGCTGTCGTATGTTCTGTTCTGTGTTGGTGATTCGCTGTCAGTACATGACGGTAAGCCAGTGAGCAAACTTTTCTCACTATGATTTTAATGAGCAAATTCCTTCGGGCTCACAATTTGAAAAGAAGCCCTAAACGGAACAGTGTCATTCTGAAATGACATCACAGCAACAGAAATGTTTGAAAGTGTGCACTTAAGAATAAACCAAAATGGGATCTCAAATAGTTTTTATTCATTTGAGAGGAGTAGATGATGAAAAAAAAAGGTTCACCTGAGAAAAAAAATCATTTCATGAACCTTTAAGGCAATAACAAGTTTTTTTTATCTTTTAATTTTGTTTAGGTCGAACATTTTCTTAACTCATTTACTTTCCATTATCTTTAAAGAACTGATGTATCATATTCTTTGCATCGCTACTTAATAAAATATTCATAACTTTTGAAAAGCTGATGAAAATCATTTTTAGGGAATGAACTTCGAACTCATACGATCCCATTTTCCTTTCTTGTGTTTGGCGCATGACCTGATAATCTTTCGTGTCTCGAAGTACAATCAGCCGAAACTGTTTGCATTTGGAACGGGGCAAGCAAGTGCTTGTTTATCTACATTTCAGAGTCTGTTCTTTCAAAACAACCCCGTGGACTTTGAAACCCTAAAAGTACTATAATTTTGTTTTATCTTTACGAAACCAGATGATAAATTTCATTAGGTTGAAAATTCAATAACTCTATTAAGCATTATTCAGGTAGAGCGTGAACGATAGCAAGATGTACAGTGGTTTCGTCAGATGGTCACAATGCACCCATGTTTCAAAGGTTCAGCACGTATACCGTTTATCGATTAAGATAGAGTATAGTCCCCAATGTAGATGAACAAGCACTTTGTGTAACGTTGTTTTTATATCTTAATCCGCCCCTATGGACGAGTGTCGGTGGGAAGCTTTATATTTTTGTAATTCATGATTCCTTCCGACAAAAATGCCGGATGGAAATAAATTATTAACACCTTCTTTTGTTGAAACGTAAGATGGTTCATGATATGAACATGCGCTGACCCATTTTTGTCTTCAAACACGACGGCATTATGCAGACAATTTATCGTTTTCTTTCGAATACATTTTATGTTAATTGTAATGAATACGCACAGTGCTGTAATTCTGCGCTAAATGTCGACACGAGAAGCTGAGTCTGTCGAACAGCATGCAGGCGCAGATCGGGGGGGGGGGGGGGTGTTTCACCCCCTGCTCTGGACCCCCCCCAAAAAAAAACCCCACATAATTAAATAATTACATGTATTGTATTTCTGCCCGTCTGCAAATGATGACAATCGGACATACAAAATATGAAGGGCCTGACCCCTGTAAAGACACCTGGATCCGCCCCTGAACAGGCGTGCAAATCTGGCGTTAACTAATGCATTCCCCCAACGTGTTGACCTCAAAATTGTGACCAGTCAGTGTACGCCTACTATTGCTGTCTTCAGTTGGCTGTATCACGTGACTAATCATGGCATAACTTATGTCGGGATGGAGTTAACTTTGCAAAGTATAATGCCCGTCTTTTACCCTTAACCCGGCCACAAGGACTTGAACAGACTTATCACGGATGTTCTTTATACAATTTACAGTGCCGATCGCTTTCGGCCAGTGTTGTAGTCGAGACCGGATAGTCCGAGACCAAGACCGAGACCTGAAGCTGCGAGACCGAGACCGAGACCAGCCCCTTCAAGGCGGACCGAGACCGAGACCGAAACGTTCCGAGACCGAGACCGAGACCGAGACCGGGGATAATAAATAATAATCTAAATAAACAACAAGACACTAATTACAGCTGAACAGTCTGTCCTTTAGATGTTGATGTTCATGGGGATGTGAAGGAAGTGATTGAAAGTTAGGAATCACTTGTACCTACTTAATTGTGTCATGCGAGTGCTCTTCGTGTTTGCTTCATGCCATAAATTACAACATGGCAACAGAATTTGTTATTGTCACAATCAATTAAAAAAATATTGTTTAACTACTATAAAGTGTAAATCTGATGAAGAGATTCTAACTTAGGAGTACGACAATTTGTACTAGTTTTTGCAAAACTTGAACATGTTGAAACTTGACAAAAGTAAAAAGTTAAAGGTGTATGTTTCATCTGTTATAGGAACTCGGACCCTAAACTCCAGAGCCAGCCCTTGGTTTCAGCAATGACCACTAACGGATATTTAAATGCAACTTTAATTTTACATTGGACCTCCTTGTAAACCTGATTCGAAAACAATTTGGAGCAAGAAAATATTGATTTATTTTTTAAAATTTCAGTCATGGAATATAGATTTGTACATGTAGACCAAAAATTTGAGAGATGGTAGCCAGATATGGATAGGTCTGCCCCCCCCCATCCCTCTTTGTGATTCTCCTTCCAACCCTGCATGTTTGTGTGTCCCCTACATGTTTGTTTCTTGTTCCTCTGTCATTTACCTCTGAAGAAGGCCTGGCTAAGGCTGAAATGTAATGCCACTTTATTTTTCTTTAATGTCAATAACGTTACATATACTACAGAAGATCGATGAACCATATTTGCCTGATCTATCTTCTGTTCATCTGCCCGCCGTCATCATCGTCATAAGCCTTTTAGAGAATATGGCCGACACAATAGAAGGGCGCTGTAACAAACTGAATGTGGTGGGCGAGATGCACTTTTAGGATGCATGGCTCAGTGCGCACGCCTCTCTACTTTGGCTACTTTGCCGGAATGAGTATTTTAGTGACAAGTACGACATTGCCAATATTCTAATCGCTTATTGTGATGGCCGTAAACAGCATATAGCGATTAATGAAACAAAAGTCTTCTCGACTCATGCAAACGCAATTGACATTTAGGAAGGAGACGAGGCAGGCAATAAGACTCTATTTTTGTGTGACCATGGCAGTAGCTCAATTTGTGTTTATCACAGATGAAAAGATGAATACATGGCGAGTCAAAAAGA